TTTTTTTGAGGAAAAAGTGGCTTTTTTGGGGGAAAAAATGTGATTTTTTTTTTTGAGGGGAAAAGCCCATTTTGGGGGGAATCACTGATTTTTCAGCCCCAAAAAATAAATGTCGTTTTTTGGGGAGAAAGGGGCAGATTTAGGGGAGAAAGGGTTGGGGGAGAAAGCATTTTAACAGAAAAAATTTTGTGGGGAAGGGGAAAAAAAGGGATTTGGGGTAAAAAAATTGGGGTTTGGGGAGGAAAAAGCCTTTTTTGGGGGGGAAAAGTGATTTTTTGGAGGGGGAAAAGCCCATTTTGGGGGGAAATTGCTGATTTTGCAGCCCCAAAAAAATCTCATTTTTTGGGGAGAAAGGGGCAGATTTGGGGGAAAACATCAATTTTAGGGGAAAAAAAAGCATTTTAAGGGAAAAAAATGGTGGGAAAGGGGAAAAAAAAAAGGGATTTCGGTTTGGAAAGGAGTTTGGGTTTTCTTGAGAAAAAGGGAATTTAGGGGAAAAAAATGGGAATTTGGGGAAAAAATGGGAATTTGGGGAAAAAATGGGAATTTGGGGACAAAAGGCCTTTTTTGAAGGGAAAAAAAAACATTTTGGGAAGGAACACAAGCTCATTTTGGGAGGAAAATCCATTTATCCAGGCAAAAAAACCCAAATTTTTGAGGGAAAAAAAAACACTTTTGAGGGAAAAAAGGCCTTTTTTGGTAAATTTTTTGAGGGAAAAAAACACTTTTGAGGGAAAAAAGGCCTTTTTTGGTAGTGTGGGGATTTGTGGGGAGAAAGAACATTTTTGAGAGGGAAAAAAAGGATATTTGGGGGGGGGAAATGGTATTTTTTTAGAAAAAAGATATTTTTGAGGGAAAAAGGATATTTTTGAGGGAAAAAATTGTGTTTTTGAAGGAAAAAAAGGATTTTTTGAGGGGAAAAAATTATATTTTTGGGGGAAAAAGGATATTTTTGAGGGGAAAAAAGGTATTTTTGAGGGGAAAAGTGACAGTTTTGAGGGGGAAAGAAGATTTTTTGGGGAAAAGGCCATTTTTGAGAGGAAAGCAGAATGTTTTCAGGGGAAAAATACTTTATAGAAAACAAGATTTTTGAGGGGAAAAAAGTGCATTTCTGAGGGGAAATACAGGACATTTTGCAGGAAATAAAGACTTTTTGGGTAACGGGATTTTTGAGGGAAAAAAAGACATTTAAGGGGTAAAAAGAACATTTTTTTCAGTGAAGAAGGACATTTTTGTGAGAAAAAAAGAGTTTTTGGGGAGAAAAGGACTTTTTGGGGTAAAAATGACATTTTTGAGGAGTAAAAAGCACATCTTGGGGAGAAAAAAAAAGAAATTTATTCAGAAGGATCAAATTTTGAGGGAAAAGACATTTTTGATGGAAAAGAAACCATTTTTGAAGGGAAAAAAAAAGACATTTTTGGAAAAAACCCAGATATCTCTAGCAAGAAAAAAGGGCTTTTTTTTGGAAATTGGGATTTTGGAGGGAATTAAGGCAGATTTTGAGAGGGGAAAAAAGGAATTTTTGGGGAAATCAGGGATTTTTGAGGGAAAAAGGCCATTTCTGAGGGTGGAAAAAAGGAATTTTTGGGAAATCAGGGATTTTAGTAGGAAAAATGCCATTTATTGAGGGGAAAAGCCAATTTTTTAGATGGGGGAAAAGGCATTTTTGGGGGAAATCAGGGATTTTTGAGGGAAAAAGGCCATTTTTGAGGGGGAAAAAAAGGAATTTATGGCAAATCAGGGATTTATTGAAGCAAAAAGGCCATTTGTGAGGGGAAAAAAAGGAATTTATGGCAAATCAGGGATTTATTGAAGCAAAAAGGCCATTTGTGAGGGGAAAAAAAGGAATTTATGGCAAATGTGGAATTTCTGAAGGAAAAAAGGCCATTTTTGAGGGGGAAAAGGGGAATTTTTAGGTAATCAGGAATTTTAGAAGGAAAAAGCCCATTTTTGAGAGGGGCAAAGAACCATTTTTGGGAAATAGCAATTTTTGAGGGGAAAAGACCATTTTTGAGGGAAAATTGAGGGAAAAAGGCCATTTTTGTGGGAAAATTGAAGGGAAATAGCCATTTTTGTGGGAAAATTGAGGGGAAAAGGCCATTTTTGAGGGAAAATTAAGGGGAAAAAGGCCATTTTTGAGGGAAAATTGAAGCGAAATGCCATTTTTGAGGGAAAATTAAGGGGAAAAAGGCCATTTTTGAGGGTAGAAAAAGGGAATTTTTAGGGAATCAGGAGTTTTAGAAGGAAAAAGCCCATTTTTGAGAGGGGCAAAGAACCATTTTCGGGAAATAGGAATTTTTGAAGGGAAAAGGCCATTTTTGAGGGTGGAAAAAGGGAATTTTTAGGGAATCAGGAGTTTTAGAAGGAAAAAGCCCATTTTTGAGAGGGGCAAAGAACCATTTTCGGGAAATAGGAATTTTTGAGGGGAAAAGGCCATTTTTGAGGGAAAATTGAAGGGAAATGCCATTTTTGAGGGAAAATTGAGGGGAAAATGCCATTTTTGTGGGAAAATTGAGGGGAAAAGGCCATTTTTGAGGGAAAACTGAGGGGAAAAGGCCATTTTTGAGGGAAAATTGAGGGGAAAAGGCCATTTTTGTGGGAAAATTGAAGGGAAAAGGCCATTTTTGAGGGAAAATTGAGGGGAAAAGGCCTTTTTTTGAGGGAAAATTGAGGGGAAAAGGCCATTTTTGAGGGAAAACTGAGGGGAAAAGGCCATTTTTGAGGGAAAATTGAGGGGAAAAGGCCATTTTTAAGGGCGGAAAAAAAGAAATTTTGGGGAAATCAGGGATTTTTGAGGGAAAAAAAGCCATTTTTGAGGACTGAATAGAGGAATTCTTGGGAAATAGGGGGTTTTTGAGGGAAAAAAAGCCATTTTTGAGGACTGAATAGAGGAATTCTTGGGAAATAGGGGGTTTTTGAGGGAAAAAAAGCCATTTTTGAGGACTGAATAGAGGAATTCTTGGGAAATAGGGGGTTTTTGAGGGAAAAAAAGCCATTTTTGAGGACTGAATAGAGGAATTCTTGGGAAATAGGGGGTTTTTGAGGGAAAAGGCCATTTCTGGGAGAGGAAAAGAGGAATTTTGGTCGCTTTGAGGGCGGGAGGGCAGCTCTGGGGGAGGAGGAGGAGGAGGGTGGGGAGCACTCACGTCGTCGGGCCGGGTGAGCACGAGGCTGCGGGCGTCCTGGGGCGGGAAGTGCAGGTGGGGCATCCCCCGCTGGCGCTCCCGCTCCTCGGGCAGCAGCGGCCGCACGCGGCAGAACACGCGGATGTTCCCCTGGGAAAACAAAAACAAATGGGATTGAGGTGTGGGACTTGTGGATGATCCCCTGGGAAAGCAAAAATAAATGGGATTGAGGTGTGGGACTCAGGGGTGTTCCCCTGGAAAACCCAAAAAATGGGATTGAGGCGTGGAATTCGTGGGTGTCCTCCTGGGAAAAGCAAGAAAAAAATAGGATTGAGGTGTGGAACTCAGGGGTGTTCCCCTGGGAAAAGCAAAAAAAATATGGGATTGAGGTGTGGGACTCAGGGGTGTTCCCATGGGAAAAGCAAAAAAATGGGATTGAGGTGTGGAATTCGTGGGTGTCCTCCTGGGAAAAGCAAAAAAATGGGATTGAGGTGTGGGACTCAGGGGTGTTCCCCTGGAAAAACAAAAAAAATGGGATTCAGGCATTGAATTAATGGGTGTTCCCCTGGAAAAACAAAACAGAAAGGATCCAGGCATGGAACTCATGGGTGCTCCCCTGGAAAAACCAAAAACTGGGATTCAGGTGTGGAACTCATGGGCGTTCCCCTAGAAAAACAAAAAAAAAAAGGGATTGAGATATGGAACTCAGGGGTATTCCCCTGGAAAACCCCCCCCAAAAAAAAGGGATTTAGGCATTAAATTCATGGATGTTGCCCTGGAAAAAACAAAAAAAAGGTTTCAGGCATGGAATTCATGGGTGTTCCCCTGGGTAAACCAAAAACTGGGATTGAGGTGTGGAACTCATGGGTATTCCCTTGGAAAACCCCCCAAAAATGGAGATTCAGTCATTGGGCCTGGTCCTGGGGGTCTCCCCCTCAGGAACTGGGCCTGTCCCCTCACACAGAACACACAGAAATTTCCCTGACAAAACCCCACACAACAAGGATTCAGCCATCGGGAGCAGTCCCAGGGTCTCCCCTCACACAGAAAACACGGACATTTCCCTGGAAAAACCCCAAAAAATGGTGATTCGGTCATTGGGCCCGGTCCTGGGGGTCTCCCCCTCAGGAACCGGGGGTCTGCCCTCACACAGAACATGCAGATATTCTTCTGGAAAACCCAAAAAAACCTGGGATTCAGCCATCAGGGGCAGTCCCAGGGTCTCCCCTCATGCAGAACACGCATATATTCCCCTGGAAAACCTCAAAAAAAATCGAGATTCAGCCATTAGGCCCAGTCCTGAGGGGGTCTCCCCCACACGAAGCGGGGGTCTGCCCTCACACAGAACACGCAGACATTTTCCTGGTAAACCCCACAAAACTGGGATTAGTCCCCGGGGCAGTCCCAGCATCTCCCCTCACACAGAACACGCAGACATTTTCCTGGTAAACCCCACAAAACTGGGATTAGTCCCCGGGGCAGTCCCAGCATCTCCCCTCACACAGAACACGCAGATATTCCTCTGGAAAACCCCAAAAAGTCAGGATTCAGTCGTTGGGCCCGGTCCTGGGGGTCTCCCCCCTCAGGCACCGGGGGTCTGCCCTCACGCAGAACACACAGATGTTTCCCTGAAAAAACCCCACAAAAAAGTGATTCATCCCTCAGGGGCCTCCCCCCTCGAGAACTCTCCCACAGAACACGTGGCCATTCCTCTGAAAAACCCCCACATCCTACCCTGAGCTCCTGGATGTCGTTGTGCAGGCGGCGCCGCTCCATCTCCAGCAGGTGGATGCGCTCCTCGTGCTCGGCCAGCAGCGTCCTCTGCGAGGCCTCCAGCTCCTGCAGCGCTGACACCTGATCCTGCTTCTCCTGCAGCTGCTGCTGCACCTCATGCAGCTGCGCCTGGCGGCGGAAAATGCAAAAACCGCTAAAAATCCCCATTTCCCCCCCCGCTCTTCTGAGGCGCTCAGTACAGAAACTGGCAAAAAAAAAAAATCCCGGTTTTCCTAATATTTTGCAGACTTGCTGACATTCCCCAAGGGATTTGGGCTTAAAATGAGCGGAATTGATGTAAATTCCCATCTTTTGAGGCGTTTTCTGAGGGATTTCTCCACAATCCACGCAAAGCCCTCACTTTCCCGCCTTTTTTGGCGCCCCCTAGCGGATCTCGAGTTGAAACCAACCCAGTAAAAATAATTTCAATTCCCATTTCTTCCACACGTTTTGAACACCCTGAGGGATTTCGGCTGCGAAATCAGTTGAGTTGTTGAAAATTTCCATTTTTCAAAATTTTCCCTGCATTTTTAGGCACTCCCTGAGAAATTTTGATACCAAAAAATCCCAAATTGACACAAACCCCTCATTTTTCCAACTTTTTCTGGTGGTCCTGCTGAGTTTCAGCCTGGAGAGTGACTGAACAGCTCCAAAATCCCAGTTTTTCATTAATTTTGAAGCACCCTGAGGGATTTTGCTTGCAAAAGCAGCTGAATTGGCACAAATTCGGATTTTTCCCCCATTGTGAGGAATCCTCTGAAGAATTTTTGACACCAAAAAGCCGGAATTGCCACAAACCCTCATTTTCCTGCTGTTTTCTGGGGCCTCTGGAGCAACAAAACAGCTCAAATTCCCAGGTTTTTGCAGATTTTGAAGCATCCCTTGAGGGATTTTGGGTGCAAAAGCAGCTGAAATGGTGAAAATTCACATTTTTCTCAAATGTTGAGGAACCCCCAGAGAGATTCCCACACCAAACAAGCTGGAATTGGCATAAATCCCACATTTTCCTGCATTTTTCTGGCCCCCCAGAGCAATAAAACATATCCAAATTCCTGGGTTTTTCCAGATTTTTGAAGCACCCCCAGAGGGATTTTGGGTGCAAAAGCAGCTGAATTAGTGGAACCTTCCATCCTTCCCAAGTTTTGAGGTTTCCCTGAAGGATTTTGACCCCAGGAAAGCCGGATTTGGCACAAACCCCACATTTTCCTGCCTTTTTTGGCGCCCTCTGGTGGATTTCAGGTCAGAGAGCAACAAAACAGCTCCAAAATCCCAGGTTTTTACACGTTTTCAGGAACCCTTGAGGGATTTTGGGGCCAGAAGCAGCCGAATTGGTGAAAATTCCCATTTCCGCCACACTTCAAGGCACTATCAGGGCGACTTTGGTGCCAAAAAAGCCCAAATTGGTGCCAACCCCTCATTTTCCCACTCTTTTTTTGGCGCCCCCTGGCGGATTTTCCCCTCACAGCTTCCCGCCATTTTTTGCCAACCCCTCCCCTCAACGGATCCCTGACCAGAGAGCAACAAAACGGCTCCAAATTCCCATTTTTTCAGGGATTTCTCAGGAATCCTGGGCCTCACCTCGGTGCTCTCCAGCTGCTCTGAGAGCGCCTGAGCCCGGCCCAGGGCCTCGTCCCTCTCCTGCCGCCGCTTCTCCTCCTCCGCCTGCAGCTGCTGCACCTTGGCCTCCAGAGCCTCCTCCCGGCCCCGGCTCTGCTCCAGCAGCTCACGGCACTGCGACACCTCCAGCTCCAGGGAGCTGCTCCGGGGAAACCACAATCCATAAAACTGGGGAATACCGGATTTCGGGGGACTTGGAGGCATTTCAGGTAATTTTCTTGAGGGGTTTTGGGGTAATTTGGGGATTTTAAGCAGTGTTCAGGAGGGTTCTGTGGGAGTTTTGGAGATTGTGAGGGGATTGGGGGAATTTTCAGGGATTTTCAGGTTCTGAGGGAATTTTGGGGATCTTCAGGGGTTTTGAGGGGATTTTGAGAAATTTCAGGGATTTTCCAAAGGGTTCTGAGGGAATTATTGGGATCTTGAGGGAGTTTTGAGGAGATTTCGAGAAATTTCAGGGATTTTCCAAAGGGTTCTGAGGGAATTTTGGGGTCTTCAGGGGTTTTGGGGAAATTTCAGGGATTTTGCCAAAGGGTTCTGAGGGAATTTTGGGGATCTTTAGGGATTTTGGATCATCTTGTGGAAATTCAAGGGATTTTCAGAAAGGTTCTGAGGGAATTTTGGGGATCTTCAGGGATTTTGAGGGGATTTCGAGAAATTTCAGGGATTTTCCGAAGGATTATGAGGGAATTTTGGGGATCTTCAGGAGTTTTGGGGAATTTTCAGGGATTTTTCCAAAGGGTTCTGAGGGAATTTTGGGGATCTTGAGGGAGTTTGAAGGGATTCAGGATAATTTCAGGGATTTTTGGAAGGGTTCTGAGCAAATTCTTGGGCATGTTTAGGCGTTTTGGAGCAATTCAGGCAAATTTCAGGGATTGTTGGAAAGGTTCTGAGGGAATTTTGAGGATCTTGAGGGAGTTTGGAGCAATTTGGGGAAATTTCAGGGATTTTCAAATTGGCTGAGGGAATTTTGGGGCTATTCAGGGAAATTTCGGAGATTTTCCGAAGAGTTCTGAGGGAATTTTGGGGATCTCGAATTCCAAAGGAAAATTGGGGGGGAATATGGGAAAATTTGGGGGATTTTGGGAGAATCGCCGGATCTTTTGAAGGCCTTTAGAGAAATTTTGAGGGGATCTTGAGAAGATGTAGGAAAACTCACATTTTGAGGATGTGGGAATTTTTTAGGAAGGTTTTAGAGAACATCAGGAGGGATCTTCAGATGGATTTTGGGTTTTTTTTTCTCAGCATTCCCCCTCATTCCAGAGCAAGATTTTAAAGGATTTGGGGCAGTTTTTATGGATTTTGGGAAGTTTTGGACAGATTTTGGTCAAGCTTTGATGGATTTTGAGGCAGTTTTGAGGGATTCTGGGAAGTTTTTGATGGATTTTGTGGTAGTTTTGAAGATTTTCATCAGGTTTTGGCAGATTTTGGGGCAGTTTGGATGATTTTGGTAAGAATTTGGAGGATTTTGGAGCAATTTTGATGGATTTTGAAGCAGTTTGGATGAATTTTGGGGCAGTTTTCCAGGATTTTGGGGCAGTTTTGATGGATTTGGGACACTTATAAGCAGATTTTGGTGCAGATTTTCAGGATTTTGGTACATTTTGGCTTATTCCTCACCCAACCTTGGTGCACAGGCTGCTCTCCCTCTGCAGCTGCTCCCTCAGCAAGGGGATGTGGATGGTTTTGGGGCAATTTAGATGGAATTTGGTCAGGTTTGGATGAATTTTGGGACAGTTTTTCATGATTTTGGGCAGTTTTGATGGATTTGGTGCAGTTTTAAGCAGATTTTGGTGCAGATTTCCAGGATTTTGGCTCACTCCTCACCCGAGCCTGGTGCTCAGGCTGCTCTCCCTGCTCTCGCTCTGGCCCAGCTGGGGATGTGGATGGATTTTGGGGCAGTTGTTCAGGATTTTGGTACCCTTTGCTCCACTCCTCACCTGACCCTGGTGCTCAGGCTGCTCTCCCTGCTCTGGCTCTGGCCCAGCTGGGGATGTGGATGGATTTTGGGGCAGTTGTTCAGGATTTTGGTACCCTTTGC